TACCGTAACGTACTAACGTACGTAACGTAACGTAAGTACGAACGTAAGAACGAAGAACGAACGAAGAACGAAGAAGAACGAAGAGAAGAGAAGAAGAGAGAGAGAGAGAGAGAGAGAGAGAGAGAGAGAGAGAGAGAGAGAGAGTTAATCTCAGTAAGCATTGCCACTAGATGATCAAACTGCCGATTTGCCAAACCCATATCTCGGAGCTCCCAAAGAGAGTAACTCCCCTGAGCAATGTCAGGCTTGATGGCATTCTTAATCCGCCTCACCACAAAGAAATACTGCAAAAGAGAAAAGGGAAATGACCATGCCTTCCATGAATTAAATTTTTTACAATTATGGTGAAGTACACCATAACTAAGTGGCATCTGTATATGGTACACAATGGGAGCCTACACCACTTGTTCCTGATGTTGGATAATGAAGATTAACCCAAACTAGGTTAGTATCTGCTATCGGCAACTATAGTTAAATCTCCAACTAACATGAGTGTACCATAGCCAATGTGCCATTGTTATGTGGTGTGCTTTCCCAAAAAAGAATTAACCACAATTATAAAACAAAAAATAAATGTACAGGATGACTGGAAATTTAGTAGCATATAGAGAACAATACAAGATATCATACCTGGAAGGCCAAAATAAAAGGTATGAGGAACTGGCCCTTATTATTTGCGTCAGGTCCTTCTATTAACTTCTTGTCAACCAAGACCGGATGGCTGCCATTTAAGACCACCTCAGTAATGTTCTTAACTAGGTCAGGAAGCCATGCAGTACCATTTCGAACGATCTGTATATGCATCAACACCCTTAATTATTTCAATCAAATCAACGAACTTTTGCATTTCATGTTTTACAGGAAAAGGATGCTAAAAAGATAATATAGAACACACAGCAATAGCAAAATTTATGCACCTTTTCACCACTGTCATTCGTGTTGCATCTTCCACTGTTCTCGGCCAAAACAACAGGAATTGGACAAGTCTAGCGCATTAAGAAAAGGACATTAGATAATAATGTCGAAGATGGTGATTAAGAGAGTCCTTTTTCTTTTTAATTTTGTTTTTCTTTTTTTGTCTTTCCCCTTCTTTATTCAAAAGAGTTCTGAAACAAGATGTCTAAATTTTCAATAATGATGAGAATAGAGGTGGTCCTTGAGTAGATGCCAAGGACTTTGAAGTACTGCCTCTTAAATGTAACAAACAGTACTTGGAAGCAAATAACCAAGGTTTAACAGATATTAAAGGGTGATAGACTCTAAATAATGTTAATAACAGTCAATAGGGAAGCAGTCAGTCATTGATGATACATCAACAACATATGTTCACCATTAAGTAGACTATAAACAACATCAATCAAGTCTATAAACATAATGTGCAGCAAGTAAAACGAGATCAATACATGGGTACAGTCTCTACTTACTTGAAATGTTATCAATTACTTGCAGAAAAATAAATTGTGCTGAAGTTAGTTTTTTCTCCATAGGGATTTTTAAAAAATAAATTTATCATATGTACAAAAATATAAAACCCACCAGTTATGTTACAACTTAATGTATCTGTACTAAACATGTGGCATGCACTCAAGAGTCAAATAATAACTTTGAGGGAGTATGCTATTGAGTGTAAGACAAATGAAAATTTATCTTACAGGGATGAGGGAGACCAGCTCTGTGAATGAAAAGCTCAGACCATTGTAATTTGTGAGGGTGTTATGTTCAACTCTATGAATGAAAAGTTCAGATCATTACATGGAACTTGAGACAAATGGTAAATTTGCTCTTGAACATCAAGAGCAAGGCCATCATCCAGAAAGCACGCGGAAGATGTGGCAGAAACCAGGGAAAAGAAGGGGTAAATATGAGGACATGGAACTGAGAAAGGTTTACCTATATAACTGCTTCCAAATATAGAAATTTGACTGCTACCTCCCCAAATATGAGAGAGAGCGAGTGACCAATAAATTTTTGTAAAGAGAACAAGAGAGAGAGCCCAATAATTTTTAGTAAAAGAGAACTAGAGAGAACAAGAGAGAGACAGAGAGAGAGAGAGAGAGAAAGAGAGAGAGAGAGAGAGAACCTTCTAGTAAGATCCTAAGAGAGAGGAACTTTTGGCCACGTGCCCAAGTCCTCTCTCCCACTTAGGCCATGTGCAAAATTCCCAAGAGAGACTAAGAGGAACTTTTGGCCATGTATCCAAGGGGCTTTTTTGTATTTTTAAGGCTTTTTTATTTTTACTTTCACAATGAGCATTGCTTAGGCGAGTCCACTCAAACGTGCTCAAGTAACTTGCTTGAGAGAGAGAGACAGAGAGCGAGACAGAGAGTGAGAGAGAGAGAGAGAAAGAGAGATGTTGGCGTACACCAGATGGGGGCACCATTGATTTAAACGACCTCATCCACAAAGTTTTTTGTAGCAATAGAGCATGATGCATTAATTCAGGTCATCAAGAAAATGTTGTACACACAATATTCCAACTATTTCTGGGGGTTGTAGAGAATATTCCAAACAAAGCCATCGTGATAAAATACTAAAATTTTACAAGTACAGGACAGCAACCACAGAATGGGCATCAAGCAAGAGTAGACTGAGCCTAATAAGTTGTGCTAAAATTCAATGGTATAATCCCGAACTGAAAAAGTAAGGACGATACCGCAGAGGAGATGGATATGGTATTATATTGATCATGATGACGATGATGACATCAAATATGCTCTTGATAGAAACTACTATTCAAGATGGATGAGTGGTTCATGAAACGACGAATACATTTATTGAGAACTACATAAGATTATCGAGTCTCCAAAGTTGAATTGTGAGCTAAAATTATTTGTTGTGTAGGTTCTCATGGAACAAATAAGTAGAATAAGTTACATTCTTTAGATTCCATTTCTTTCCGATGCAACATATAGTTCGACGTTTCAATGCCTCAGAAAAAAAAATGATTTTAGCTTATACAAAAAATTATTTTCCCTAAGGACTTGAAGATGAAGAAAAGTTTTTACTTATAAGAAATCAAAATTTCAAAGATGACAATGCATTCCCATTTTATTGTTCGATCTAGCTAGTAGCAAATAGAAATTCCTAACCAAAGCAAAACGTTCACCCAAAAAAATAAAAGCATACAAACAGAAATGACAATGCAATAATTACATCCCCACAGAAGGAAGACAATAATCACCTGAATTTCGGGAAACGTTCACCCAAAAAAAAAAAAGCATACAAACAGAAACGACAATGCAATAATTACACCCCCACAGAAGTAAGACAATAATCACCTGAATTTCCTTTATCCTCATACGAGCACCCGATCTAAAAACTTTCAAAAGACCTTCTGATCTTTTCAAGAAAAATTCATCATAACTCAATCCATCTGGGTTGACAACTGAGCATGTGTAAGAACAACTAATCCCCTCTGCCATATACCATTCCCAAAACTATCTGTGATAGCTTTGATGACCTGTCTGTCCAAATTATCAACCAATAGCTATCTAATCGGTCCACATATAGCAAGATATCAATCGTCTTGTTCAAAAGGAACCTATCAGGCAAGAACCACGTCTAAATCAAGTTCCCCACAAAATAATCCTCAAGTTATCTTAGAGTCAAACACATTGGCCCATGAATGAACCATGCATTCTTTTATTTTGGGAAGCAAATACATTATTACAAGACAATCACCCAAACAAGGAATAAATGCAGCCCAAAAGTGACGAAAAAAAGGGTTCATTGTATAAAATACCAAATGACTTCCATTTAACTGTTACAGAAACATTATCTTAAGGAATCAAAAGAAAGAAAGAAAGAAAGAAGAAGAAGAGAACTACTAGATTACCGTTTTATCATTTCAAGGGTGTTTTCATTGACAAACCCCCCCCCTTCTACAAGCCCTGAAGTGTCTATAATATTAAATGTGAAACCAGCTCTAGCACGTGAACAAATTATAGGACGCATTGCTTCAGACTGCAAAACATGGATAAACGTAAGAGACCCAACCTACTAATCAATACTTACAACAAAGCTTATTTTTTTCATGCAATGAACAATACTTAATAAAAGACCAATGTATGGCATATATTCTAGTTAGTTACCGAACCTCCTAACATCAGCAGCGATCATGCTCTGGGAATGTGATCCAACATCCCCAGAGCTGGATCATAACACCTATGTTGGGAGAGCAAGATCCGAAGCCAATAGGAATCAATCAACAGGTTCATACGCCCATATTGTTAATATTTTTAATCAAAGAACCAATAAATGCCTATCAATCAAAAAAAGAAAGCAATAAATGCATATCCATAAAAAAAAGGAGAGCAACAATAGATAATCAATTAAAAAAGGAAGCAATAATTCTTTAAATCCACGATACGCAAATTTTTCGAAGGATAGATTCTTGAATGCATCTATCACGAAGAGAGGGTTTCAAATCCACAGCTCCGAAAATTGCATTTAATGTATGGAGTGGCGGGTCCAACATTTGTCACAAATGATTATGAGATTTGGGCCGGTCATCTCGTTAAAATGCGTACAAAGAGAGACAATGACCTCTCTCTCT